TGATTGGACAAAGATAATGTCCTAAGAAGTAATGTGGGTAGGTGGTGAGAGAGGTTGATTACTGAATCTTTGTTCATTGAATTCACGCCTAGTACGTGTAATAAGAATGACTCATCACCACTGCCAGAGATGCAGAAAATATTACTACTAATCAAATCAAGGGACAGAAAATAATAAAATTACATAAACAAAATTTAAAAGTTGTGTCTTGTTATGATTACAAGCAATGAAGTATTCGCGAAAAGTCATCATTAAATAGTACTTTATCACTGTGTGATTTTATCAAGTTGGTTCTGTGATGGAGTTGATGTGTGCTATGAGTATTAAACAAATACTTCATGAATATTCTTTAGATCAATATTTTCATCGGTAGTGATGAAAATATCACCCACATATTGCCTAAACATTTTGAATAAATATATATCTTGTATATTACTTGATTCTAAGTATACCATTAAACAGTCGGGAAGTAATGGACCAAGAGGATACCCCACGGCTACTCCATCTTTCTGTCGATATATATTTATGCAGGAATTGGTCATTTAGAGTGCGTGTTATTATAAAATATACCTTTACATTTTCTGAGTCGCTTACTCTTAAGAACACTATTCCTGTTTCCAAGATCTTTCTGTTTTAGTACTAATCACTTGATGTCTTTAGATTACTTAAGACTACTTGACTAAGTTTGTGACATTAGGTCGGTGGTTCGAATCCGCCTCGCCGGACCATTTTTTAGTGCGTCGGTGGCACAGTGGTTAGGACTCTCGCCGACCATGCACATGGTCCGGGGTTCGGGCCCACGCCGACGCACACTTGATATCTATGGTTGGCCTGCGAATTTTGGGCCACCGATATCCACGCTGAAATTTCCATACTTGTGCCAAAAATACGATGTGGAATCAAGCTATAATCAAAAAATAAATAAAAATAAAATAAAAATTATTATTGTTCCCTTAGGTTCCTAGTGGAACATAGGACTTCAACTACACGTCTCCACTTGCTTCGGTCTTTTGCTGTACTTTTCACCTGCATCCATCTTAGTCCATACTCTATCAACTCCTCTTCACACGATCTCCTCCATGTCACCCTTGGACGTCCCACTCGTCGCTTCCCTTTCGGGTTCCACTCGAGGGCCTGGCGCGCGATGTCACCAAGCGGCCTCCTCAATGAGTGTCCAATCCATCTCCACTTTCTCCTGCATATTTGTTGGCCGGTGATTGGTTCTTATTTTGTTTGTTCCCATAGTTTCTTGTTGGTAATTCTTTCCGGCCGCGCCATCTGATCTTCAGTATAGAGCTAGCGAAGACAGTTGTTGATAAAGGTCTGCAACAGGCCGTTGGAAATATTCTTTGTGATCCGTATAGGAGAGCTGACTAACTTGACGTTGGTATTGAAAATCCTAATTTTGTTGTTGATGCTGAGTGACGAAGATTTCCAGATTGGTTTCAGGTTGATGAACGTGTTTCTCACCTTCCCGATTCTCGCTCGATTTGACATCCTCGTCCGTTCCTCTGGCCTGTAGGTGAAACAATGCTCCCTAGATAAGTGAATGAAGCAACCTCTTTCAAATTCCTCCCGTTGATGGTGATTGGCGCTGGGTGTTGCTGCTGTTGGTTGCTTATTTTCGTAACCTCCCTCTTGTCTATGTTCACTTGGAGTCCTGTCTTCGCCGGCTGCTTCTTCGACCAGTTTGTCGGTTTTCACTTGTAAGTCTTCGATTTTGTGTGTGTGACATCAAACATAAATCATCCATGCGCGAAATCCAGGACTTCTAGGTTCTTCACGTCGGCCCTTGTCTTCTCGTTTCCAACTGTCTGACGCATAATTCAGTCCACCACAATTAGGAATATCATTGGTGATAATAGGCCAGCACCCTTGTCTGACTTCTGTGTTTATTCCAAATGCCTCGCTGAGTTTTCTGTTGTGGATCACTTGACATGTTCCGTTGTTGTACAGCTGTTGAATAAGGTTGATGAATATTTGGGGTACACTGTAGCACTCGAGTAGTTTCCAAATCACTTCGCGGCCAACGCTGTCGCAGGCCTTCTCAAAGTTTATGCAGTTGAGGTAGAGGTTTGATTGCCATTCCATGCTTTGTTCGATGATGATGCGTAGAGTTGCAATTTGGTCAGTACATGATTTGCCTTTCCTGAATCTAGCTTGTTCTGGTCGGAGTTCTGTATCCAGTGCATCCTTTATTCTCTCCAGGATAATGCGACTCAGGATTTTACTTGGCGCCGACAGGAGCATAATTCCTCGCCAGTTCTTGCAGAGTGAGGTGTAAGTCGCCCTTCTTTGGTAATTTCACGAGGTAACCATTCTTCCAGTTAGTAGGCACCTTTCCCTCTTTCTAGACCTTTTGCAGTAATGGAGTCAGCATGTCTGCATTAGTCTCTGGGTCCGCTTTCAGTGCTTCAGGAGGTATTCCATCTGGTCCAGCTGCTTTTTCAGCTTTCAGGAGCTTGATTGCATTCAAGATTTCGGCTTTTGTTGGAGGATTGGTGTCAACTTGCAGTTGTGTATGTGCTGTTGTTGGTATTTCTGGACGGGTTGCAGGTGGTGGTCGGTTCAAGAGTCCTTTGAAGTGATCCGCCAATTGTTCAACCTGTCTGTTTTCCTTGGTAATTGGGTTCCCTTGGCTGTCTTTTATAGGTTTCACTTGTGTTTCCCGGATAGAGACTTGGATATCTGATATAATGTCCTCAGGTTCCTTTTGCCTGCTGCCTTTTCAGTTTCAGTGGCCAGGTTGTCGTAGAATCGTCTTTTGTCCTTCCTAGCATTCTTCTTCACTTCTTTGTCCAGTGCTGTGTAAGTTAAACTCAGCGTCTCTTTCTCTTGTTCATCTTTGCATTGAATCATTTTCTCTTTCACCATTCTCCTCTCCTCTATTAGCTTCCAAGTGTCTGTTAAGAGCCATTCCTTGTCTTGTCTCTTCTATTTTCCTAAAACGGTTGAACACGTTTCGTTGAAAATTACCTTCAGAGTTCCAGTGGTCTTCCACGCCTGATTCTTCAGTGATGTCACGTACTGTTTCATGCTTTGCTCTGACAGTTGCAATGAAAGTGTCTTTTGTGGTTGTGTCCTTCAGTAATTGAGTGTTGAACTTGCATTGTAGCCTATCCCCAGCTATCCTCGAAGCTTTTAGCTGCACCTTGAAAGTCCCTTGTACTAGATAGTGCTCTGAACCCACATCTGCTCCTCTCCTCGACCTTGTGTCCAGTAGGCTCCGTCTCCACTTTCTTGAAATTGAGATGGAGTCTTTGGTTTTTGGTGTGTCCATCTGGTGAAATCCACGTCGTCTTGTGTATATCCTTGTGTTTGAACACACTGCCACCAATCACCAAATCATTGAAGGCGCAGAAGTCTGAGAAGAGGTTCACCATTGTCATTCATGTCACCGAGGGCCTCACGACCCATGGTGAGTTCTCTTCCTGTATTGTCTCCTCCCAGCTTCGAATTCATATCACCCATCAAGATTTTGATATCGCCATTTGGGGCGTTGTCCATTATTGCTTGTAGTTGTCTGTAGAACGCCTCCTTCTTTTCTTGTTCTTAGACGTTTATGGGCGCATAGCATTGGATGATTTTAACCTTCCTTCCTTTTGAGTTGAACCTGGCTGTCATTATCCTGGAGGAGATTGGTTCCCACTGCATGAGAGCTTTGGATGCTGTTGGTGACATCATGATGGCCACTCCTTCGATGTGCTCGTGATTGTCCTCTGGGTGGCCAGAATAGATTATTGTCTCCCCAGTTGACAGTTGGCACCTACCACACCCGTTCCATCTACTCTGGCAGATTCCCAGCACTTCTTTTCTATATCTCCTTATTTCTGCTGCTACCTGGGCGGCCTTTCCAGTTTCGTACATTGTACGAACGTTCCACGTCCTCATCCGTATTTTTTCTTTCATCGAAAGGAGGCACATCGGCTGACTGGCTTCCCGAAGGCTTTCACCAGCCTGCGTCATTTCACTTCTCCGATTCCAGCGAAAAATAAGGTTATTGTTTATGTTTTTAGAATTTTTAATATATTTATTCGTTGAAGTTTCTGTAGTGATTTGGTTAAGTTTTGGGGGGTGGAGTTGCTAGCACCACGCCCCAACCCTCCCTCTTTATCCGGGCTTGGGACCGGCTAGAAAACTAGCAAGCTAGTAGTCTAGGCGAGGCTAGAAAACTAGCGAGCTAGTAATCCAGGCGAGGTTAAGTCTGTGACTTTCTCTACTTTTCCTGAAGTCATTTTATGTTTCTGCTACCAACAGATATTTACAGTGTGTAGGTATTTCCATGTGCATTGGTGGTCCAGTCGTCAGCCACGTCTCACGTGGTCCGGGATTTAATCCCCGGCCAACGCACTCCTAAACTTCGCTTAGCTGGAAGTAAGCCTGGTAAAGAGTGGAGGTTGAGTGTAAGACTAGGAACCCCACCCCGTAAAAATAAACATCACTGCTGCTGAAACTTCAAAGTTGAAACTTGAAGCACTAAGTTCCACTCAGAACGTAAAGCATTAGAAAAAAAGCATTTCCATGACTTTTTAAACACTGTATAATTGTAGAGCTTTAAAGTGAAGTTACAAAAGATTAATTCCTGATAAATATATATATATATATATATATATATATTCCTAAAGTGCAAATGACTGACTGTTATAATACGCTGTCAGTCCTCATAATAAACCTTTGTGCACTCCTACTTAACTTATTTCACTCCTGTTATGCATTATTCGTGCCTGGGTTTATCCGAATATGCATTTCGTAACTATGTGGAATTTTGTTGTTAGAACAGACAAGCTGCAAAGTACCTTGGTTTGGCTTGCACATATTCAATGCTTCCATTATTGCCTTATAGCAGTACTACATTAGCCTAAAATATAAAATTATGTGTTACTCAGCTGTTATTATATTAAAGCTATCTGCCTCGGTTTATTTCACCTATGTTTAATTAATTTCAGTACAGTGACTTCTTTGCATTTCATTTCGACAGAGCATTTACTATTTCAACACTCATGGAAATTTGTTGCTTGCCTGCCGGAGTCAGTGATTTTCCACTTGAGGATCGGTGTCATCTATTTTTCAGAATCATGAAGCTGTTCATGTATTTCACCGGTCAGTTTCCAGATTTATCGCTTCTGATCCCACAAAATGGACCGAAAACAGAACTGCATGTGGTAGGTTACGTTACTTGGTCATACCTTTTATTTATTTTCCAGAATAACTTGCACCCAAAGCAGCAAAAAGTTTTACAATCATTGCTTGAAATTGAATCTCATCTATTTGCGTCTAAATCAGAGTCCATTCTGTATTTCCTCATCATGATGGGTGGTCTACCAAATAATCCAAAACATGCATTTCTTGTTGATCTTAGTCACTTTTACCCTCTCGCTACAAATGTTAAGAAAACAGAAACTGTTATATTCAGAGAATTATTTGAATCCCTTATGAAAATTCCATTTTTTGATAATCTTTTTGAGTGTTTTGAACCAACACGCACCTACTTATATATTTGTGCATCAAAAGATTTCTCTTCAACATGGTTTCTACCTCGATTGCAATTTCGCCTACCTCGAATATGTCCTGTTTATGTAGTGAAAGTTGTTCCTGATGTTTCACAATCGTTTGCAGAGAGTGAAGTGACTGAAAGTTCACTTACACATCAAGAATTACATAGAGTCTTGTATGAATTACCTTCTGAATTGCGATGGTATGCTTCTCCGCTTGTTCTTAATGGTGTTAAGCCATGTTGAACTTTGTGTATACATAAATAGCACGAAAAATTTGTATGCTGTACAACAGTAATGTATCGAGAGTTTTAAAACCATAGTCGTTGTACATAATCTTGTTCATTCTGTCGTTAATGTATATATTCTTGTTAAATTGTACTGCAAACTAAATCTTTGTAAATATACGCGCAAATATATATCCTTAATAATATGAATAGTTTACAGTTATTTCTAACATAATCTTGGACTTGATGGAATGAATATGCAGTTTTAACTGGGGGCAAAATATATCATACATTTTCTGCAATGTTTTAATCGTAGTTTGGATAATTTCATGGTATAGTCTAACTTTTCGGCATTAGGGAGACTTAAATCACGTGAATTTCATGCTTCTTGCGGACGTGTTATACTGAATGCTACTTTGTGTGAAATCTATGATCAGGGTTTGATACCACTTAACTTTCAGTACCTAACAATAATTACCCTCCTTTGCTTGTCAGTATTTTGTAGTGCTGTTATATCCGATTCTTTAATTAGCCGTAAAGTATATCATTATGTTTTACTGTGTTGTTGATGTAACTTTTTTTGTGTTATTAATTAGAACTCAGTTACCTGGAGTGTAGGCGTAATTACCGCCGTTTAACAAGTGCCATATTTCTTGGCCTGAAAGAATTCGATTCTGTCGACTGTGTGGCCATGTTTGACAGTAAAGGGAGTGTCGAGAAAGTACATATCACTAATCAAGGCACTCTACTCGAGTTTACACAGCCGTGTAAGAGTTTACGGGAAGTTTTCATCTGAAGTGATGACAAGTCTCTGTCCTACTACCCCTACTTCTGTTTAGTTCCATCATAGATGTACCAATCGAAGTGACTTTAACTGACTTCAGTGACTTAGGAATTGATTTGTTACTAAGGTATAGTCTTGTGGACTTAAAGTATGTGGATGATATAGTCCCCCTAGGTTAAGTCGCTGACAAAATGCAGAGTCTTCTGAACAGCATGAGCAGCAATCTTCGAATGATTGGCATGCGATTCGCTCCTATCAAATGTAAGATGATACCGCAGGGCTGAACTAAATCTGCTGTTATGTTAAAGATAGGGAGTGAAATGGTAGAGCGTGTTGTTGACCAATTTACTTATTTGGGAAGTCGAACTTTATAAAATGGGACCCGTGTTTATTATACCTACTTGTTTTATCCTCACGAGGCTGAGAGAACGAGTGCAGTTTTCAACCACTTACCACCAGGATTACGAGTCTCCTAAAAAGAGCTGTAGAAACACTTCAAGTCTTGAAAGGAAAAATGGTATATAAAATCATTTTGACGGTAGATAATGATAGGAGTTTACCTCTTTACATTGCTATTGGTTATTCGATATTAAATCAAAGCCTGAAACGGTGATCCTGTTATTATTATTATTGTTCCCTTGGGTCCCGAGTGGAATATAGGTCTTCAACAACACATCTCCCCATTCGTCCTATTCTATGCAGTTGTCTTCATCTGGTCCCATGATCGCCCATAGTCTCCCGAGTCCTCTCCGCACAATCTCCTCCATGTTATCCTTAGACATCACATGGGTTATATGCCGTTCAGGTTGCAGTAGAGTGATGGTCCGGCGCGTGATATCGCTCGTTGTTCTCCTCAGCGTGTTTCCGATCCATTTCCATTTCATTCTGCACATGTATCTGGAGATAGTTTCTCGGTTAGCTCGTTTCCAGAGTTTCTTGTTGCTAATCCTTTCCGGCTGGCCATTTGATCTTCAATACAGAGCAAAAGCAGCTGTTGATAAAAGTATGTAATCCGTTGGAAATGCTTTTCTTGACGCGTGCGCCAAGCTTCCGACCCATATAGAAGTACTGATTTAACAATAGTGTCGGAAATCCGAAATGTGTTCTTTTCTCTAAGTGCAAAAAGGCTTCAAAATTCATTCCAGGGTGAAGGTGTAGCATGTCTTTCTAATTCTAGCTCTGACGTCCTCATCCGCTTCGCCTGTATTTAAAAAGATGCTTGCCTAGATAACTGAAGGAAGTGATCTCTATCAAATTTCTCCTTTTAATAGTGACTGGTGCTGAGTGTTTTTGTTGGTTGGCTATCTTCATCACTCCCGTCTTCTCTGTGTTCACTTGAGGTCCTGTCCTTGCTGCTCCTTCAGTCGATCTGCTGATTTTCGCCTGTAAGTCTTTGAGTTTGTGTGACATTAGACATAAATCATCCTCACAAACCATATCTTCTAGAGTCTTCTTATGAGGTTAACTCATTTCTGTCCTCTCGCTCCCCACAATATTCCTCATGATCTTATTCATCACAATTAGGAATATTATCGGTGATAATAGACAGCCAGTTTTGTCTTACTCTTGTATTCACTTTGAACACCTCGCTGAGTTTTCCGTTATAGGTCACCTGACACATGACTCTGTCATATAGCCAGCTGTTGAATTAGGTTGGTAAAGATATGGGGGTACCGCACACCATAGTTTTGAAGTAGTTCTCAGATTAGTTCGTAATCAACACTGTCAAAGGGGTTTTCATAGTCAATGCCTGAAGAAGGGGTCCTATAAGAATACCCTACATAGTTCGAGTAGTACCTCTGCCTTCATATAAATCAGGAAATAGTACCACGATGGAAGTTACAAATTTTGTACACATTTTATAGGTTAATTACCGTTATATCAATGTTATGTCTGCAAATGAACCGTTTCGTTGATTATTTCTATCGTAGGTTTTAATCACTTTGATAAATTGCTTGTCATTGTTTGAGATTTTTGTCCATCTCTATGGTTTTGAATTGTACTGTGGTTCGTTTCGCATAGGAATACTTGCTGGTTTGGCTTGGTAACCCTTCAAACCTGCGCAGCAGCAGTGGCGTTTATTTTTTTACGGGATAGGGTTGCTTATCTGACCTCCAATCTTCCCTCTTTACCAGGCGTACTACCAGCTAAATGAGGTATAGGAGTGCGCCGGCCGGGGACCGAACTCGGGACCACGTGAGACGTGGTTGGCGAGTATTCTACCTCGGAACCACTGTGCTATGTATACATATACATATATTGAACGTAGTAATGAACCGTTATGAATAACCATCACGCTTACTCCTTCTCAACTTCGTCAGTATCTCGGTTTGTAGTCGGTATGACACCAGGCACTACTCAATCGGATTCTTAACATCCATAAGTTGTTATGTAAAAAAATCAAATTAAAATATGGATTTCTTCACAAGTCAGACCAACTGCAATGGAAGATGGATTTTATCAATTAAATGACCAACTGGGGGTTCAAATATTTAGGTCATTTCTAGGCTCATAGATAAGGTATGGTTGCTACACGTTGGATATTGGGAATGTCCTTAAATTACGACCTAATTCTAGTCGGTAGAAACTTCTGGTCCAGTTATCACTGTTTTTATTTCTTTACCTTTCGTCTCACGCACTCAAACGTGTATTGAATTATACAATATCGCGTACGATTACTTCCGTTATCATCTTAATGTATATTTCGTTTTGATTTAGTCTCAGCTGTATTCAAAGATAAGTCATTATTTTAAACAAGTAGATATGAATAGATTGGAATGTCATATCAAGTAGGATTTACAACTATTTACCTAATTTTTAAGAAATCAGACAAACTTTGGTCATGCTTACAAGACGCTGTAAAGATTAAGAACAAAATAGCTTGTATCCATGCAAAGCATCTTAAAGTTAGCTGTTACCTTGATCTGAGTACTTGGTAAAGTAACTTTTTTTGAATTTCTTGTATTAGATGAGATGAAAGTAGTTAACGGCTACCTACATTATTATATACTGGCACGAAATAATAATATTGGTACATCACTTTAAAATCAGCGTACTTATTTGCATTTAAAGATTATCCGCATGTTAATAACCTAAAATTTGCATTAGAAGTGCGGAGTAATGCTCTTCTTTGCACTATATACGGTTTACTAACAGCGAACCGTATTCTTTTGGATTATCAATTTTATCGTGCGTCGGTGGCGCAGCGGTAAGGACGCTCGCCGACCATGCACATGGTCCGGAGTTCGATCCCCGGCCACAGACGCACTCCTTTACCTCGATATGCCAGAAATAATGCTGGTAAAGAGGAAAGGTTGGGCATGGGGCTAGCAACCCCATCCTGTAAAATTAAACACTGCTACAGAAACTTCAAGCCACTAGCTTGAAGCCCTATGTTCCACTGGGAACGTGAAGGAAAAAAAATCAATTTTATTAATAAGTTTGTTTTTCACTTTCTACGTATATTAACATTGAGACTGTTTTCTAAACAGTATTTGTTTAAAGTGAAGCTTTGTAACAGAATGTGGAGAAATGGCTCATTAGGTTGAGCGCTTGACTCTCCACGGATCAGTCCCAGGTTCCAGCCTGACTAACCGTCAACCCTCACATAATATATGTGGCTTATATCCTGGTATGTGAAAGATCGGTTTGCAGTAACAAATTCCTATTTAAAGAAGTCGTGGAAAAATACCAAAAGAAAATCGAAACTAGATAAGCTCTTATCAGGCATATAGAACAATATTTGTCTCTAACTATAGTCTGTTTCCCTCGGAAAATATTCAGCACCCGTTGTCTATTTATTTTGCTGAGTAAGAGTACAGTCTAATTTGTATCACCGTTAAACAATTGGTAATCAGTGAAAAGCGATTTTTAACATACGCATTCTGTGTATGTCAATAACCAAAAGTATGTAGCATTAATTGGAATATGTCAAAATGGAGTAAAACATGATTCAATGTTTTTTTAAAGATTTAAATAAAATGTATACAAATATGGATGGATGTAAAGCAATGTCTTTGTCCACACTGTTTATTCTTGTTTTGGTGCAAGCTTCTTATAAGAACCTTTTGATCCACCAAGTTTTTCTAACAGCTCAATTTTTTCAATTATGATTGGACCTTTTTGTAATGGTTTCAGCATATCATACACTGTTAATGCAGCAACTGAAACAGCTGTTAACGCCTCCATTTCAACACCTGTAGCTTGACCAATTGCCTTAGCTTGTGATTGTATATGAATCTTTCCTAATCGATAACCAATATTCACTGATACATGTGATAAAGGCACCTAGAACGGGAAAAAAATACGTTTAATATATGTCTTGGATGAGTACAGGAAAGAATAGCATATTTGATGTTTATAAACCAAAGAGATAGATGCTTGTTATGTCGTAATGTTGATCCTCAGATTTTGAAGACATCAGAACATTTGTGTAAGATGGAATAAGCAGCTGCATCTAGCAATAGCTGAAAGCTGTTCGAGCTCATCTGAGCCAATGATACTACGAAGCTTGGTGTCAGCGAGATTGTCTGTGAGGCAGATGGTACACCAGTTACTAGCCTGAAAGGCTGGACAGAGTACTTCGAAAGACAGCTTACCTGTCAAACAGAGCCAACATTAACTATAGTGGTCCAGTGTGGATCAATACTAAGCCACCCAAACGAAGCAGAGGTTCGAAAGGAACTCCAAGTATTGAAACGCTTTGAGGCGCCCTGCCTGGAAAATCTTCCCCCGGTTCTTTTTAAAGATGGTGGTGATATTATCGTTATGGCTTTGACTGGACTGTTCAGGAAAGTATGAGAAAGTGAGGATGTTCTATCAATGTGGAATAAAGCCATCATCGTGTCCATCTTCAAAAAAGGTGTATGTAACACATGTGACAACTACAGGAGTATCAGTTTGCTACCAGTCACGTGGAAAATATTGGTTGCTGTCTTGCTTCTCAGACTCTGTGTGCACTGATCGTGTGTTCACTCTCCGTCAGTTGCTAGAACACCTCTCACACGTATTGAAGGTCAACATTCGTTGTGTTTCCTGATACTAGGGCTACCTTTGATTCGCCGAACATAACTGTCCTCTGGAACCACCTGTTAGAGAGAGGTGTGTCTGACGAGTTTGTGAACATCCTGAAAGCCCTACATAGGTAGAGTCAGTGCATACAACCACCTATTACCACTGTCTCCAGCCAACAGTGGGATTAAACGGAGTTGCCCAATCTCTCCGTTTCTCTCTAACTTTGTCGTCCATGACATTCTGGAGTTAGTTTTGAAGGACATGCGTGGTGGAGATGTAGATGTGCTTCCTGGAGAAAAACCCTTCCACCTCAAGTATTCAGACAGTGTCGTCGTCTTACTGTGCGATAGTACGCAGGCTGTCCAGACCAGTTGGCGATCAGTATTTGTAGGTATGGTATGTGCTTTACGCCAACTAAGTGCAAACTACTGTTGCAAGACTGGCAGGAGCCCATACCTGTACTCACTCTTGCAGGTGAGTCGCTTGAAGTTGTCGACAAGTTCGTGTACCTAGGTGGAGGCGTGACGAACGAGATCTTTAACCGTGCAGTGAAAGCTAGGGGGTCCACGTCTAACACCGTCATGATGTCAAATTGGCTGTCAAAGGTCAAGTCTACAATGCTTCGGTGCGTGCAGTCTTGCTGTACGCCTAGGAGTTGTGGGTACGCGGCGACAGAGTATTCAATCATTGCTACTGTCGTAGAATTGCTTAAGTCCTACGGCTTCATCGTGCGAGTAATCTTCAGGTTCGGCAGCTTGTATCTGAGCACAGTCGAGGTCACCATTTGTTTAATGTTGTCATCTGGAAACACCGGCTTCTGCCATTTGGATATGTGCTACGAATGTCACCCCACAGGCTCTCTTACCGGTCTTTGTACTCTGACCCTTCGACTAGGTGGAAAAAGTGGAGAGGTGGGCAGTCTATGACGTGATGCCATGGATGAAGGATATTTGAACTGGGCTAGTATTACTTAGTAAATCATAGCTTCCAGCTCGGAGTATGAAAGACAGTTCGAATCGGTATAGATATAGTCAAGATTCCAAGTCAATGGTGAATATGATGCAGTCTCTTTCCTTATTCCATTTCTGGAAGCAACATAAAATGATGAATGATTTTGGAAAGTATGCTTGCTTGCTTTCTGGATGGTGCTTCTCATTTACTCTGTCTCTATTTTCTTCATATATTGTTGTTTCGCTGTGGTTGTCTGGCACATCTCCTGGTACCGAATTTGTGTTTCAAATAAAATAAATTTGCAGATGTATGTCGATACAGCTGATCGTTAACAAAATAATTCTGCGCCTAATACATGGGTTTACTTAATAGGGCATACGGCCATTTCTTCTGAAAATATTAGTGATTGGTAATGGGAACTGTCTGTTCATGCATTGAAAGTATCCCCAGTTTCGTTGCCTTCTAACAAATCCCTTGTTAGACGCTATCATCTCGATGCACTGGTGTGAAGTCTACCATCTCAAAAACTCTCGATCTCACTATGTTTGCATCTTTCATTCATTATACGTAGTGTGGCTAACTTTCTTTAGAAAGCACACATTGCTGGAATCTACCCCTATTCTTTAAACCTTAGTGTATTTAAAAGTATATCCGTATGGATTAGCATTAATTTGATGACAATCTTACCAAGTGCATCCTTAGAATTCCGCCATCCGGCTTTCTGCCTTTTTTCTAAAAATGTCATTCTGAAATAGTGGCAAATTCTCTATTAGTTAAACCTATTATCCAAAATAGTCTGAGGAGTGTCTAACATAAAACTCCTCAACTGATAAACTACTGAGTAGCAATATAAGTAGTTAAAATTATGCACTAAAAAGTAACAAACATCTCAGTGACTTACTTGGTGGCATAAAGGTATAATAGTTGACGTTTGTTTAGCAGCTTGTATTCCAGCCAAACGAGCTACCGTAAATACATCACCTTTAGGCGTTAATAGTTCATACAATTCTTCACTATGATTATCATCATTACTATCACCATTATGATTGTTATTACTCACAATGATATCGGAATTGTTGTCTGAAATACACTGAGCATGGATAAACTGCTTCAAATAATCATCAATACATATGTAGGCTTCTGCTTTTGCTGAACGTACTGTTGTAAACATATTATGCTTGCTGTTATTCTCGTTATACTGTTTAATAACTTTAGATGTAATGTCAACCATCCTTGGTGAATGAGACATATCTGAAATGTCATCCTTTAGAAGAAGAAAATAAGTACACTTCTGGTCAATACAGAATATTATTATTAGTTTAAGTGCACTTCAAGTAAGAACTTCTAACAAGGTTTACTGCAACAGATAAGTTAAACTAACCAGACGGAATGTAGTACATCTTCTACTAATCTATGTGGATTTTTCTGAAAATACCACTACTTAAAGATTAGATCATGGTTATCTAAATAACGGATGAAAATCCCATCTGAATTTGAAACCCATCTCACGAATGTTGTAATGAGAACTATTTACATTGCAGTTTGGGTAGGTTTGTTTTGAAAAGGTGTCAATGAAAATTTGTAGGTTGTTTACATGTAGTTGTCTTTACATATTAAAGAGGGAAGATTTCTTGGACTATATTTATCGAAAATTATTGTTGAAATGTATAACTATAAATAGGATAGCTAAGAAAAAGGTTATTTTACCTAACAAACTCTTGTTCACCTCGTGGAACCGTATACGAGCTTATTAATAGCTGTCGCTGATAGGATCACGCATAAAATAATATACCATCCTTTCTCACGTATGTTGTGATTGATTATGGGATCAATCGATTTCTCACGCATATTATGAATTGTGTGATCAATTTTTTCCCACGGCTATGAGTTGACTTTATTTACGCAAAAATGTGTAAATACCATGTGGCGTTTTTCTAATAAATATACAATACAATACAGTCACAGGCCAGCCTTTGTCTTTTGATATTTCCGTGGCTCAGTGAATCGGAAGGTACAACGGGCAAATAAGCATATTAGGGCACCAGTCGAGTTCATTACCAATTAGCAAGTGCAGGCATAACAAACAAGCGACGGGTTTCACTCACTACAGTTCTAAAAGTTGCTTAGAGCAACAATAATGAGTAATGCTCCATTTTCACGGTTTTATTCTAACAGTAAGATTTATATACACCTATATATGTTGCTCCGTTCGTCATCTGATTAATGAAAAGTCACTGGTTGCACTTCGGTGTCAAGTTCTATGTTGAATCCAGCCAGCCAGGCTGATTCGACTGACAAAATTACAGTCTATCTAAAAGTCTTCAATGGAACACATAATGAATTATTTCATGCATGTATATTGCCAATATTCATCTATCTGCCTGCAATAAGATGAAATTATAAAACATCTTAATACCAGTTTCTAGTCAAGATATTTAGACTTTCTTCAATAGGATCTTTTGAACCCCTATTTAACTCCCTAAAAATCTGTCTTTTCTTGATTATTTGGCTGAAAGACAACCAGATGGTAAACAAAAAAGAAATGTCTTAAGAAAGCCTATACGTTCGAACGGATTTGTGGATTGCGATTCGGTACATTCCTTTACCAAAGTAGTAACTGTTGCTTAGAATCTGACTAGAACAGTTGAACGTCTGGTTACTGAAGGAGAAGAAACTGGTAGAAAATTGAAGTTGGTTCAGTCTACTCTTGAATCAAATAATTACCGAAACACTTTGTTATAAGGGTATTTGAAGTGTAATGATGAGGATTTATCAAGACGTCCTGCTAAGCATTGGATCAGAACTGTGGTGATTCCTTATCTCAGAAAAAGGCAACAGACGAAAGAAGGGGAATTTTTAACAGTCATGACACAAGATTATATCTTCGTGTGACGAAAAACCTACTCTCGTCACTCTTGAAGGTATGGGATATAAAAGAAGACTACCAAAGCAATTCCAAACACTAAATAAAATGTGTGGATTTATTATTATTATTATCATTATTCCCTTGGGTTCCGGGTGGGACATACGGCTTCAACAACACATCTCCACTTTGCCCTATTTTCTGCTGTCCTCTTCACCTGAGTCCAAGATTGTGCATAATTTCTCATCTCCTGAGTGCTGCTCGCGCACCGATGACCCACTCGACGCTTCCCATTAGAATTTCACTCGAGCGATTGCCTGCATTTCTCACGATATCATTCGATGGACTCCTCAACCCATGCTCAATCCATCCATCTCCATTTAATCCTACATATTAGTCGAGCAGCCGACTTTTGGTTTGTTTGTTCTCAACCAGAGTTTCTTGCTGCTAATTCACTCCCGCCAGCCAACTGGCCATTCCATCTTTAGTATGGAGTCAGCCATAGAAGGGGATAGCTATCAATAAAAGTCTGTAACTTGTTGGAAGTCCTTTCTGTGATGCCAGGGCCAAGTTTTGTGTCCCATACAGATGAACTCACGGACTGATTGACTTCACATTTGTGTTGAACAGAATCCGAATCTTGTTATTTATTCTGGCTGAGTGAGAACGGAAGATTTCCGAACTGGTTTCAGATTGATGAAGGTGTATTTTTGCCTTTCCGATTCTGGTTGACTGTCTTTGACATCTTCATCCGTTTCGCCGGCCTTCGGTTGAAACGATGCTGGCTGACTAGATAAGTTAAGGAAATAACCTCTGTTAGATCTCTTCCGTTGATGATGACTAATGCTGATTGTTGTTGTTGTTGCTGTTGGTTGGTTATCTTCATCACTTCATTCTCCTCTATGATCTCCTGGAGTCCTGTATTCACTGGGTGCTTCTTCAGTTAATTTGTTGTTTTTCTCCTGTAAGTCTTCGAGTTCGCGTAACATTAAACATAAATCATCTGCCTCCCCTAGTTTATTATCTCGGCGGTTTTCCACCCGGTCCTAAGCCCGGATACAGAGAGAGAGTTGGGTGTGAGGCTAGGGACCCTACCCCAAAAAACCAATCAAACTGTCACAGAAACTTCAACGTACAATAAAAAATTTTTTTTAATATGGGGGACTGTGATGTAAATGTAGGAGAAATTTCTAGGCAGATGATTGTAAGAGCGAAAGAACTTAAGGAAATACCTAAAGGTAGTTCGAGAAACCTTAGTGGATTTAAAAAAAAAACTGGAAAACAAATCAACAGTTGCACTACACTTGATAGGAACGGCACACAAGATCAACTTTGGCAGGACTAACGCTTTAAAGAGAGGTTTTAGTTCATATATAGATGTGATGGTAAGTCTTCAATAGTAAATTAAAAAAGATCTGTATTACTAATTTTTACGTAATTTCTGATTCAGATTTCCTCACCACGACATTCATTCGAACATTTTCATTAAAGATTTGTATAAAAGTGTCCACTCTGTTTACACTATAGAGACCAGTAGTACGATTATCTAACCAACTTGTCGAATCTTCATCGCAATTCAAGCGATTTTAATTCTGACCACTGTTTATGGCTATAACATGATTGGATACGAAATTTAAAGACAAACGAGCCCTTTTATACATATTATGCCTCTGATGCTTTATAGTTGATCATTTACCTGGAAAGGTTAAGACCCGTGTGCCGAATGAAATGTGGGGATTATTTACTCCAGTTTTGCTAAGATTTATAAAAATATACAGTTTTTTAAGGTCAACAGACTGAGATGTAATTTAGGAGGGTAAGATGCGAATAATCACTTACTTGACTCTGTTCTCCTGTACTACTATTGGATTGGTGTGATGATTTCTTCAGGTTACTTGAAAAATTTGGTTCTATAGCACGTTTAAAACAATTAATAAGTGACTGATGATTCATCTTCGTGTATTGCATAGGATTGTTTTAATTATGATTCGGTAAGTTTGCTGCAAATCTGAAATATACTTTGTTAGATCAGTAACTGCTTTGTACAAATGGTGTTGATTTTCTAAAAGATTGAAAGTGAAGAAATATTTACTTAGATAAGCCGAAGATTTATATGACGTTGATAACAATACTGTGTTAATTTAGATTATAGGATTTTTTCTATGCCTTTACTATCTCAGTAGAACATAGGGCTTCAGATTAGAGGTCCGAAGTTTCGGTAGCAGTAGTGTTTATTATTTTTACAGGTTGGGGTTGCTAGCCTCATGCCCAACCTTTCCTTCCTACCAGTCTTATTAATGATTTAGCAAGGTAAAGGAGTGCATCGGCCGGGGATCAAACCCTGAACCACATGAGACGTGGTTGGCGAGCACTTTACCGCTGTGCCACCGATGCAATTATGGGATTTGGATTAATTCAATTCCGCTTTTTTAGATTTCCTCATGAACCAACATCAGTTAGAGAGATCATTGAAAAACAGAGAACACTAGACAGTTCATTAATGCTCGCTGGATGAATGTCCTGAAGCTGTAGCAGACCAACGGGGTCCACCATGTCAAGATGAAGTGGATGCTCATAGATTGCATTGACTGATGATAGCGCTACACGACGAAATGACAGAGGTCGAATTCGAGGGACACTGAATTCCGGCCCAAGTGGCTAACTCGTTCAGGAGCATGACCCCGTAACCCGAAGGGCCATCACTCAATCTCTGGTGGGGTCGTGGATGCATACTGTGGAGAGCCGAAGACCAAGACAAAATAGCTGTCCAATTCTCCCTGGTTTTCAGTGATCTCTCAAACTGATAATGGTTGACGACGAAATCTAACAAGTGAAATCAAACTATGGTAATTATAAAGATCTGTCACTGTCAATTTTTAAACACGAAAACAAACTTCTAGCGGGTAGGCATCACCAAATGATTGACACACGTAAATCTTATATCTATACATCTAATAGAAGGTAATGAAATGGTTTCACAAAGCTCTAAAATAACGGAGAAAAATAAATATAATTCTAATGTTTGTACGAAGACGATGTACAGTTGCAATGACACCACAGGTCCTAATTATAAGTCATACCAATATGTTTGACATTAATGATCATTGATTTCATGGACTGATGCCACTTTGCTAGGAAACAACACTGAAATAGTTGAGTAGTTAGGTATAAGTAAGACACATCCTTAGGACATCAGCTGACCTATCTATCTCACTTTGACATATAGTGTTTACGTAATAGTCCTATCGAACTAAGGCATACTTGTAAGAAAAAAGCAACTCTGGGATTCAGTGGAAACATAACCCTTTTACCTGACAACAAAAAGTTGCCCATCATATTTATCGTTGATGTCGTGAATGGCTTTTGACTACAAAATTAAAGGTAATTAAAAAAATATGCATGATTTTTTAAAGGTAACTCTTGCACTAAATACTTGTTTTCATTGAACTCAACACTGAAGACTCAAAGGATGATGTCACTGCCGTAGAGAATCATGCTAACACAGAATTGCCATGTAAATGCGAAATCCACAGATCGTGGAAATATTATTATTATTATTGTATCCTTTAGTTCCTAGAGGAACATAGGGCTTCAGCTGCGCACCTCCATTGCCTTCTGTTTTCTGACAACTTTTTCACCCCGCTCCAGGTCTGTCCACATGCTTTCATCTCCTCCTCGCATGACCTCCTCCAAGTCACCCTTGGACGACCAACTCGCCGCCTCCCTTTCGGGTTCCACTCGAGCAATGGCTTGTCTAGTGATGTCACTTGATGGTTTCCTCAGCGTATGGCCAATCCATCTCCATTTCTTCCTGCCTATTTGTTTCACAATCGGTTCCTGATTGGTTCGCTCCCAGAGATCCCTGTTGCTGATCTTTTCTGGCCATCTGATCTTGAGTATTGAGCGAAGACAGCTGTTAATGAAGGTCTGAAGTTTGTTTGAGATGCTCTTTATGACTCGCCAAGTCTCTGATCCGTATAGTAGCACTGACTTCACATTGGAGTTGAAAATCCGGATCTTATTTTTGATGCTGAGTGCTGTTGACCTCCACACAGATTTGAGAGTAATGAAAGCTTGTCTTGCTTTTCCGATTCTGGCTTTGATATCCTCGTCAGTTCCGCCTGTAGTTGAGACGATGCTTCCCAGGTAGGTGAAGGAGGTTGTTTCTTTCAGGTTCTTCCCATTTATGCTGATTGTTGTCGTTGTTGCTGTTGGCTAGGAATCTTCATCATCTCTGTTTTATCTATGTTCACGTGAAGTCCTATCTTTGATGCTTCTTCTGCCAACTTGTTACTTTTCACTTGCATATCTTCCAGTTTGTGGGAAATCAGACATATATCATCGGCGAAATCCAGATCCTCCAAGTCTTTTGTGTCAGTCCATTTTATGCCTGTTCCCTCGTTGGTTGCTGTTGTCTGTCGCATTATCCAATCTACTGCAATCAGGAAGATCATTGGTGATAGTAGACAGCCTTGCCTCACTCCCGTCCTCACTTCGAAGGCTTCCGTAAGTTTCCCGTTGTGGATTACTTGGCATGCAGCATTGTCGTATAACTGTTGGATGAGATGTATAATTGTCGATGGGACCCCGTAGTAGCGAAGTAGTTTCCAAATGACCTCTCGATCGACGCTGTCGAAGGCCTTTTCAAAGTCGATGAAGTTGAGATAGAGAGGTGACTGCCATTCCAAGCTTTGTTCAATGATGATCCGTAGAGTGGCGATTTGATCAATACATGATTTGTTTCTCCTGAATCCGGCCTGTTCCGGACGAAGTTTTTCATCTAGGGCTTGTTTGATTCTCTCCAGGATGATGCGACTTAGTATCTTGCTTGGAATGGACAGAAGCATAATTCCACGCCAGTTTTTACATTGACTTAAGTCTCCTTTCTTTGGAAGTTTGAATAAGTATCCGTTCTTCCAATCCTCGGGTACTTTGCCCTCTTTCCACACCTTCTCCAGCAGTGGTGTCATCAAGTCCGCTGTTGTCTCTGGGTCTATTTTCAAAGCTTCTGCTGGGATTCCATCTGGTCCCGGTGTTTTCCCAGCTTTTAGCATCTTGATTGCATTCAGGACTTCTGATTTCGTCGGGGGGTCAGTGTTCACTGGTAGTTCTGCTTCCGTTGTTGGTATTGTTGGGCGCGTTGTAGGTGGCGGACGATTTAGAAGTCTTTTGAAGTGTTCAGCCCAGTGCTTTCTCTGTTCCACCTCTTTGGTGATTGACTTTCCATTGTCGTCCTTTATTGGCTTAATCTGTGTCGAACGTTTGCCCGAAAGGTGCCTAGTTGTTTGGTAGAGTGTGGCGAGGTCTCCTTTGCCTGCAGCTTGTTCTGCTTCGTTTGCCATGGTTTCATAATATTTTCTTTTGTCTTCCCTGGCACTCTTCTTCACTCTTTTGTTCAGTGTATTGTAGCTTGCATTCAGCTCCTGTTTTTGTTGCTCGTCAGTGCACTGGATAATCTTTTGTTTCACTGTCCTTCTCTCTTCTATTAGTTTCCAAGTGTCCGTAGTGAGCCACTGTTTGTCCTGTCTCTTTTTTCTGCCTAGAATTTCTATGCAGGTTTGGCTCCACACCGTTTTCAAGTTGTTCCAGTGCTTTTCGACGCTGACCTTTTCGCTGGTGTTGATTTGTGTCTCGGCTTTGTCCTTTATGCTTGCAATGAAGATGTCCTTTGTAGCCTGGTCCTTCAGCTTTTGAGTGTTGAACTTGGCTTGTGGTCTATCTGCAGCTCCTGATTCCCTGAAAGCTTTTAATTTGATTTGGATTGTCCCTTGTACGAGATAGTGGTCTGAGCCAACGTCTGCTCCTCTTCTTGCTTTTGTGTCCAGTAGGCTGCGCCTCCACTTCCTTGAGATTGAGATGAAGTCGATTTGGTTTTTGGTTTGCCCGTCTGGTGACACCCATGTAGCCTTGTGGATATCTTTGTGCTTGTATACACTGCCACCAATCACTAGTTCGTTGAAGGCGCAGAAGTCGGCGAAGAGTTCTCCGTTTTCATTCATTTCTCCGAGAGCTTCTCTACCCATGATGAGTTCCCTTCCTGTGTTGTCTGGTCCCAGTTTGGCGTTCATGTCTCCCATTAGTATTTTCATGTCGCCAGCTGGAGTATTGTCCATTGTTGCCTGTAGTTGTCTGTAGAATTCTTTCTTTTCGAGGTCTGCGTTGTTTGTGGGTGCATAACATTGTATGATTGACACTTTCCTTCCTTTGGAGTTGAATCTGGCGGTCATTATCCTGGACGAAATCGCCTCCCATTGCATCAGGGCTTTCGTTGCCGTTGGTGACATCATGATAGCCACGCCCTCGGTGTGCGTGTGGTTATCTTCTGGGTGACCGGAGTAGATCACTGACTCACCCGTTGACAATTTGGTGAGTCCACTCCCATTCCATCTGCTTTCACATATTCCCAGCACTTGGATTCCGTATCTTTTCATCTCGTTGGCGATCTGGGCAGCTTTCCCTGTCTCGTACATAGTTCGGACGTTCCATGTCCCCACACAGACTTTTTCTTTTGGTGCAAAGAGGTTCATCTTGCTGAAGTTTCTGTAGCAATTTTGTTTACAGGGTGGGGTTGCTAGCCTCACGCCTGAGAAAGGAATGATTACATTAAGATAAAGTTTAGAGAGAAGCGACTTTTTGGGTTGCTCCCCTCAAAATCAGATAATAACGGACAAAACAATGAGAACAACACCAACAAAAGGAAACAGTTCAGAGCAAAAAGGGCAAAAAGCGACGACAACGATACAATACAACAACATGCAATATAGTTCAGCACAGTTAACTAAAATGATATCTCAACCATAAACTCACTGTCTTGGAGCAACTTGAACATATAAATCCAACAATATATACAATTATAGATGTGTTTATGTTTAAAAATTCCACAAATCCAAATAGTTAGTTATATGTATTATCTGTCAATAAGATTGTATCCTTGGATTTAGTGTTTGAAAGGTAAATAATTGTGATAG